TTTCAGGTGCAAAAGATTAGTTTTACAGGTCAAAAAAAGTAATGCAATGGTTTTTGTCTGTGTGCAATCAAAGTGGTTTAACCTGACTTCAGAGTAAATGCATCTGTTCAAGCCACATAGTGATACGACAAACCAGCCATGAAGATCAAATAGCTTTCCAAACAAGTCAAAGATAAAGTGGCAGAGAAGCACAGATCGGAAGGTTGCAAGAAAATTTCAAAGTCGCTTATTATCCCTTTGAGTATGGTGAAATCCATCATTAAAGAGTGGAATGTGCTTCATACCACCAAGATGAGGCTGCCCTTTCAAACTAAGCAGCCAGGCAAGCAGGAAACTGGTTAGGAATGCCACTTTGAAAGAATTACAAAGTTCCATATCCGAGATGGGATTCAGTGATCATACATCGACAATATCCCGGTCCCTACACAAAGCTGGCTTATGAGCGAGTGGCAAGAAAGAAGCCAGTAATGAAAAATAATCATCTTAAATCTCGTATGGAGTTTCCAACAAAGCATGTAAATTATACTACAGACATATGGCAGAAGGTTTTTGTGGTCAGACGAGACAAAAATTGAGCTTTTTGATCTAAATTCAAAGCGTTAGGTCTGGCACAAGCTCAACACAGCACCCAGTCAACACCATCCTAACTGCCAAGCATTGTGGTGGCAGCATCATGTTAGGAGGATGCTTCTCATCAGCAAGGGCTTGGAAGCTTGTCAAGACTAAGAGGATGATGCAAAATACAGGCGGATCCTAGAAGAAAACCTACTCAAGTCAGCCAAGAATCTAAAACTGGATCAAAAATTCATATTTCAGCAGGACGATGGCTCGAAGCACAAGGCCAAAGCCACACTGGAGTGGTTTCAAAAGAAGATAGTGAATATCTTGGAGTGGCCCAGTCAAAGTTCTGACATGAATCCAATCGAAAATTTATGGCAAGACTTGACGATTGCAGTCCATCAACAATCCCCAATGAACTTGTCAGAATTCGAGCAATTTTGCCAGGAAAAATGGACAAAAATCAAACCATCCTATTGTTGGTAGAGACCTATCCAAAATGACTCATAGCAGTAATTGCTGCCAAAGATTCTTCCACCAAGTACCGACTTAGGGGGCTGCATATTTACTTATGCAATCAGCAAATTTCAATTTATATATTTTTTTGCAGGTTTTGCTAACACTCAATCTCCTTCACACATAACATTGTTAAGTTTGATCATTAGAGTTTTGAATAAAAACAAGTTTACATTATTTGTATTTCATCATGTGACATTGTTGATAGGGGTGAATACTTTTGCGAGAATTATTTAAAGCTCTGGATACAACTGTGGTAACGTAATTCACAGGGTAATGTAAGTGAATTTATCACTAATTGTATTGTGATAACAGAGTAGGGGATAACAATTTGTCACGTCAAAGAGGTTGTAAAATAATTAAACCCACCTGTGTGGACTTTGACGAAAGAGAGACAATTATTCAAAGCTCTCGATAAAACTGCAATAATTAATAGTGTAATGGATTTTTGTACGTACTTCTGACTTGTTTGAAATATATTATTTTAAAACAACTGAACTGTGTGCTGTCTGTTTATTGTTGAAATTTATCATTTACAAGTCACAGACACCTACTGTAAAGAATTACTCCATACATACCTATAAAAACTTGACACTACTAGTACTAGTATTTTGTCTTCAGCCCCATGACCCCTCCAAGAATTTTATCATCAGATTTGAATGAATTGGGTAAATGGGCTATTTGGCTACAGAAATAACAGAATCTGCCAAATGACAGCCAATTCTCTTCCCTATTATAAATGCCAATTTTTTGCTCCATATTGAACATCGGGTTTTGAATGCTTAGTCCATTTAACTAAAACTTATCTGTATCAAAGTTCTAAGAATCAGTTATATTACCTAAATTAATCTACTAACTTAATGTAACACCTTGTGAGCAGGTAGCATGCATTTATGCATTAATGGCTCTAGGGTTTCAGCATTGCCCATACCATGTTGTACATGCTTTGTATCCATTCCTTAAGCCTCTAATTCATTTTTGACTAATAAATATGGATATATAAGCAAACAGATGACCAAAGACACGTTTTTTAATGTTTTGTGCTTATATGAGCAATATTAATAGTACAACTGATTTTTACTTTGAAAGTTGATTTATACCCAGGAAATGTATACAAACTATCCTTATTCGGGGGGAGGGCATATGTAAGGCACAATTCATCACATATTCAAAGTCAGACAAATATGGATTCCTTTTATCACAAATCGGCATTTAAGTTTATTTACCCATTTCGTACACATTATAAATGCATATTCATATATGTTACTGTATGGTTCATAACTCAGAATGAAATGAATCTTATATATATTACAAAATCAGAAATAAGCAACTACATCTAGTTTAATGGCATTAAAAAAAAATTGTGCATCATGGTTTTCTTTGAACATAAAGATCATGTCAGTACTTTATTGTTCTGTTTTATGCACAATCTAGAAGTAGTTTAAATTCAAAATGACACACACAACAAAGATTAAAGGTAATATCCAACTGGAGTAAGTATAACTTACTGTAGAAACTATTATGTACTAAGGTTTTCTTGTTTCTGACATCTGAGTTTTCTATACAGATTGTGTATCATGCTTATTGCTTTAGTTTCATAAAAAATGTATTGATACAGATAAAGATGAATCAATACAAATGTTTTAGCTAATATGGAATATACTAACATTATTTTATCTGTAAGTGCATATATCTTATTAACTTATGCTTGACTCAGACCAGCTCCTAATAGGATGAGGACAACCTCAGAGTGTAAATCCATAAACCATAGGTTTCAAAAATCAAATGCATTTTTTTGGCTTAAATTAGAAGAAAAAAAAACTATCATCTCATGATTTATCCAAGTTCAACTGAATATTACTTTATTAATACAAATTTCATATTCATTATAAATGCTTTTGTATTTGGCTAGAAAACTTAATATGGAGTTCAAAATATACAGTTAAAAATTTTCCACAGTTTGCAAGTCAGCTTTTCCCTGCTAAGTTCTTGATAGACTCCACTAAAACAACTGCTTTTCCTGCACTGTATGTAAGATTTTCTTTCCAGTTTAAAACTGCAGGAAATATTAAAAAAAAGATTATTACATTTTAGAGCTGAAATAGAGTTTAAAAAATCCAATCTCTATAATATATGTAAAAAGAATATTTGATAAAAATGCTCAAAATATTTCACTGTCTTGTATTTAACTTTCTACAAAGACTGATAAACTAAAAATTATGTCATAGATAGTAAATGTCCCTAGAAAGAGACAACCAGTACAAGTTATTCCTAATATATTTATTCAAAAACAATTTAATTATATAAATACGTAATAAAACATGATAAAAAAGTTGGATATAAATATTAGACTGTTTGGATTATTGACTGGTTTGAGAAATAATAAACTGTTAAAATATACAAGATGTTTCTGCATTATACAATGTGACAATTATAAACAGTGTATTGTTAATTATAATATAGTTGTATTAAATGTGAAAAGTGTTTTCATTTGTTATAGGAACATGTATAGTGGAAGATTACAGTAGCTTAAAAATGGTAATAAAAAGTGTATAAAATATCATTACAAACTTCTAACAAAACCAAGCTAACGAAACATGTCAGAACTAAACAGTAACTTATAAATTAAGAAAGCTAATCCTGTATAAATAACTGACAATACATACTTAATATTAAACCTAAACTAAATTTATTATAATTACACTTTACAGAATCATCAGTTGGATGCTCTTAGTGTAAATATTTTCTACCATAATCCTAAATATACTTTGGAAATTTAAGTTAGTCCTAAATTTATGTACTATACACAGCTGAGAATGTGTAATCATAATCATAATTGTAATGCTAACTTAAAAATGTATTCAAAAACTTTAAGTATTATAATCAATAAGATTTAATGGACCTAAGTACATGTATAAAAGAAAAGAAAATGAAATTAGTACTTACAGAACACACAAAAATATCAGTTCTTTGGTTGTACAGAAAATAAGATGTTAACTTTTATGCAAGCATTATGAGCTATGAAAAGTTGAATGAAAAATGTACTTCAATTTTAAATTGTAAATAAGACATAATAAAATGATAGAAGTTGAACAGGAAATTACCAATGTGTTTAATTTATATTCAGTCGTCAAGAAATTAATGTCGCCTTTCAAAACACTTTCATTAACCACCCCCCAAAAAACGTACATCACGTATAATAGTTAAATGAACCACCTAAAAATCAGGTTAGTGTAGCCTATATAATGAGTAGTTTAGTATACTGTAATCCCTTGTAGCGATGGCGCATGATGAGACACACAATCGGCATGTAATGCTGTTTGAATACTAGAAGGGAATCAATGCCTCTGTGGCCACAAAGAATATCAAAGAAGTTTATGAAAATGTTTTGCACATTCGTAAGTGTCAACGATGGTTCAGCAGATTGCATTCATATGACTTTAGCCTTACAAACTGTGATGGTAGGGGCTGACAAGAGGAATTTATATTGATGTTTAGCCAGTGGTGTAAGTAATCAATGTGACATGAGTTAAGAGGCTCAGCTGGTGGTGTAAGTAATGCAAATTGCATGTCTCTCATGAAACAATACATAAACATTTAAGGAATATGGGAAAAACTCCTTAAACAAAGTGTTTGGGTGCCTTACGAACTCTCCAATGATCACCCCTTCCAACATGTGAATGTTTCTAAGTCTCTTCTGGTGTGTAATGTGCGTGAACCATTTTTGGACAGAATTGTCACCAGTGATGAAGAATGGATTCTCTATATGAATATTAAATGGCAAAAACAAAGACCACTTCCAACCCCAAAACCTTGACTCCATCCGCATAAAGTGATGCTTTGCATTTGGTGGGACATCAAAGGAGTAATTCATTTCGAA